CCTCATTCATCCTAATTTTTGTTGTGAAATCTACGTCTTTTAGTCTCAAAACAACGTATTGTGGTCTTTCTTTTATGTATTGCGTTATGACGTTTTGTCAAACGTGTGTACGTGATGGAGAAAAATGAATATAATTTTTGGATTCAGCATACAGGAATTACTGTAGAACATGTAAAAACTTTCAATACAATAAAACCATCTCAGATCTGTGTTATTATTCATCTCTAATATATTTACATCTACAAAACTTCCTGTTTCCGATTATATATTTACATGGACATTTCTTGAAAACAATGCAATACTATAATTTAAGTTTTTAACTTATGTTGTCAAGAGCCCTTACTCCAGTTTTTGGTTTACAAATTGAATTATGTTGAATACTGAAAGGTATGTTTTCATAAAACATGTTATGTACATAAAAGGAAATCTAAAAGTGAAATATATTTAGCATTTTCATTGATAAGTCTGATAAAGGATTGTTTATCCTGCTCAACGAAAGATGACGTTCCTCAAAATACATCTGTAATTCGTATTTTTGTGGATTTAGGATGTTAATTGATACTTCAGTATTTTTAAGAAAACCATATATTTCCAGGTGAAGCTGACACATAATAATGTCAAAACAACTAAATTATTGATGTGTTATGTCTGTAAAAAGTGACATTTGAATATTAAGAAGTACGTATTACATATTATATATATAGTAAACCTATACTTACGCATTATTAAGGCCTTCGAGGTAGGGACTACCAAGTCTTGTAGCTATAGCCAACTGGAATACTTCTGAAAAGGGCTTTGGAGCCAGTGCCAACCTGCAGGAATTGGCTTTGTTGAAATCTTCACTGATGACCCGGTAAAGTCCATACTCATCTCCCAGAAGAGCAGCCTCGCCATTTGCCAGCCGTTCAGTTTGTTTATTTGAATCGTAAATTAATTCAGCGTAGAGGTTTTTTTGTAGACGATCGTTGAGAGTCATTAGAGACTGAATCTTGGATTCCTAACAGATATTATAACCTGCTTTTAGAACAAAATGATTGTTACAATTTCTTGCTAGCATAAATCAGATGTTACAGTCAGCTTCAGTTCCTGTTCAGGTATCACAGTAAGCCACTAACATAGATCAAATACTAAAATCAGTTACTAACAAAGGTCAGCTGTTAGATCCGGTTATTAATTTAAGTAAAATAAGTCAGGTGTTATAGTGACTTTTTAGCATATGTTGTATGCTATGTTTGTTTGTTTAAGAATTTCATGCAAACCTAGAAAAACTATTATTTCTGCATAGCCGTCCCTAATTTTGAACTTGTAGACTAGAGAGAGAAGGCAGATAGTAAAAAGCACTCACCGCCAACTCTGACACTACAGCCTTCTTTCAACATTGATCAGATCTCATAGTCAGATTCGTACAAAATTCTATATTCAGTTCTTCAAATAGGTCATTTGCTACGGCCAGTTTATAAAATTACCATAAATCATTACTTTTTAACATAAATAAAATTTTGTATTTATCTTTTTACATCGAAATCAATGAGATTAACAATAACTGCAATATAAAATTCTAAAGCAAAAGTCCTTGATTGAAAAGATAGCTATAAAACAGAGAACGTCGTATGTTTTATATAAAACAAAGCACACGTGATCAAAAAAGGCTTATGTACAGAGAAAACCTCCCTAAGTATATACTTTTGGAAATATTTTAGATGTTCTACGTGAGTAGCTAACACTCTGTGGGAAACAGACCTACACTGGTGTGTTTAACCTATTAACAGGCTAGTTACTGTATCTTTGCTATTCGCGGGTTTTTTGAAAAGGCTGAAAAATAAGAAACTCTACAAGTTTGAATTAACTAACAAAACAAAATACATGTATAAACATTTTCCAGTTTTTCCAAAGATCCAACCAAGTTACGAGCGACTTTTATGGTCATCAATTAAACTAGAAATATTATCTTAAGTTTAATCTTTCTGGCCCATGAATCTGATTAGAATGAAATCAACAAATATACAATACACCAGCAACAAAAAACAGTCCAACTTATCTAGCATATTCTGTCTCAGAACGAGACTTGAAGCTAGAATTGTAAGAATAACAGTCTGTGAGGAAGATACTGACATATTTATAACACTAAGCTCGTACAGAAATTCGGCGAATTCTCCATTGACAAGAAGAAATGAGCGGATTTGATTATGAAGCTAGTAACAGAATTGTGAAACCCCCTACTAAAACTTATCACTACCCCCCTTTAACTAAAGAAACTTAATCTACTGTGTGGTCCTTGTCCACCATTTTGCCATCATCACCAGCAAAGGTTTGGAAATATTGCGTCCCAAAACTAAAACATTGCTTACTTTAAAGTATTGAATGTTCATAATTAAGTAAGCAGAAAAAATTCTTTTGTTTTGATTTTACTATTAATTTGGCACAATTACAACAAGTTTAAGTGTTAAGTGTTCAAATGTTTCTCATCTTGTACATTATATTTTCTCCAAAATTATAGTGATTTTAAGAAATAGTAACTCAGATTTTTAATGCAAGACTTAAACTCAAATTCATCTAAGGAACTAATTTTTACTATCAATGCTTGGAGGCGGCTTGAATGGGCAATGAAGAAAAAACTTTAATATTTGTCTCAAAGTGGGTTCTTCGTCATCGAATTTTAATTTATACTATTTTTGTAAAAGTTATTAAAATAAGAGTACTGTACTGAAAAAACTTTTTTTTAATTTTACTTTTGCATAAATATTATTGTTGTTACTGCAAGAGTAAATCTAGTTAAAAACGTCAGGTGGGTTCATTTAGTAAAATCACTACTTTTGTAAGTACTTAATAAGTATAACTGCTTCAAAATATAAACGTTCATTTAGAGAAATATGTACTTTTATAAGTACTTAGTAAGTATAAATGCTTCAAAATATAAATATTCATTTAAAAAATCACTACTTTTATAAGTACTTAGTAATTATAAATGCTTAAAAAAATAAACGTTCATTTAGAAAAATATGTACTTTTATAAGTACTTAGTTAGTATAACTGCTTCAAAATATAAAAATTCATTTAGAAAAATCACTACTTTTATAAGTACTTAGTAAGTATAACTGCTTCAAAATATAAAAATATTTTGTTTCATACCGCTTAATTCTATTATTTTGTATTATTATTATCATTTTTTCAAGTTAGCTCTTTTTGTTTGTTCCGGAATTTTAAATAAAAACATGAAACGTGTAAAGAAAAAACTTCTCAAACGCTTTGAGTTTTTACCTTCAAAAAGCACGTGTATCTACAAAATATAAATTTTGCATATGTTTGATCACTGAAGTATCCTGATCTTTCACGCTGATCTTGAAACAAACAGTTGTGATAATATTAGATGGAGTGTAGTTTTACTAGCATTATCTGAAAAAAAGCTTTGAGTTTTTAAAAATACTTACTTGAATTTTCTGGTGCAATCCGGTTCCCTTTTCCAACAGAACCGTTGTTGTCTGATGACTGGCAAGCTCTTCCACTGACTTGACCAGCCAGTTAGCTTCGGGAAAAGCAAGGAAGGCTATAAGATTACCACTATAGGTTGCTATGACAACAAGTTCAAATAACCACCATGTTGTAACCACAATACGTGCCGATATTGAGTCGGGCAAATGTTCACCTCCTACAAGAAAATATGTAATTACGAAAAGAAAATACCCTACAAATTGTTTTGTCATTTCCTATACAAATTCATTTATTATGATATTATGACTTGAAATTTTTATTATTATCATTTCAGCAAATCATAGAGAAGCTTACGAAGTATTAACATTTTTATTGAGCAGTTTTGTTGTTTCATGTTTAAAAAAGTATTGAAAATGAAACATATATTTTGTTACTTTACTTGTACCACTAAAGACAAGAGAAAATAATACCGCGCCTACTAAAACAAGTTACTTAAATTATTTGTTAAGCTGCGAACACATGAATAAAACCCATCATATTCTTGCGGCACTAAAGTATTATGTGTATTTCTTTATTTTTCAATCATACGCACCTTGGGTGAGAATTGCACCATAGACATACCAAATGCAGTTCTTTAGTTTGAATAGTCCCTTATCATAGTTGACGCTGGTCTGCCTTCGATAGTAAGGGCTCCACTTGTTTACCTTATAAAGGATAATACCCATAATGGGAACTGCAGCCACGATAGATATCCAGACCTGTGAAGGACAGTTCAAAATGTGGCTTGTTTTCGTGAGTGTTACTTATTAACATCGTATCAACATATATTCACAGGGCTATTATCTTTCTATTGCAGTTTTTACAAACCTTCCAAACTTCAAATTCTTAGTCAATTTGGAACAAGCTTTCAGATCGAATAAAATACTCGAGTTTTTTTATTATGATTATTTAAGTTTGATTTTGGAATCAAACCTTCACGTATCCTTAGTTGCTGCCCATCCTTAACCATACTCACAATTTCAAACTTGTTGACCTCTATAGCAATATAACACTATATACTTAGACTTATCAATGTTGGTTCAAACATTTATTAGTGAATCGCAAATAAATCCTCTAAGTAGGCAAAATTACAAATATCAAACGAATGCTTATCCTTATCACTGAACATGCACACCCTTTCAGCTGTATGGACGTTATGATGTGAAGGTCAAACCCACTAGTTGTTTTGGTTGTTGTTAAGCGCAAAGCTACACGATTGACTATTTGTGCTCTGCTCCCACACACGTGTACCTAAGCCTGATTTTTAGCGTTTTAAGCCAATAGACTCACCACTGAACTACTGGAGACTGTTAAAAGTTTAACTCTAGAGTTGGCGGTGGGCGGTGTTGACTAGCTGCCGTCTCTGTAGTCTCTCACTTTAAAAAAATATTGAATGCTGGTGCAGATAACCCTCAACTAGCTTTACGTGAAATGTAACAAAAACAAACAAAGAAAAACCTTATCCTTGAGAAATACGTAGTTAAATCGAAAAATTAAACCATATAACAACTTTTATACATCTAATCTGCATCGCTGGATATTATCTGCCTGAAAAGTTCTTTACTTTCTTATAACATACATAATCCTTCGTTTCTTACGGTAGAAGAACACAACACCAGGTTTGTTTGTTTTGAATTTCGCGCAAAGCTACACTAGGGCTATCTGCGCTAGCCGTCCCTTATTTAGCAGTGTAAGACTAGAGGGAAGGCAGCTAGTCATCACCACCCACCGCCAACTCTTGGGCTACTCTTTTACCAACGAATAGTGAGATTGGCCGTCACATTATAACGCCCCCACGGCTAAAAGGGCGAGCATGTTTGGTGTGACGGGGATTCGAACCCGCCACCCTCAGATTGCGAGTCTAGCGCCCTAACCACCTGGCCATGCCGGGCCTACACCAGGTTTGTTTGTTGTTGTTTTTTTTCTTTATTTGAAATAGTTAACTAATCAATATGATAGATGGCAGTCTCGTCAGTGTATCATGAATTTCGTAATTAATAAAATCGGTTCTAACTTAATTAAGTTTCACTGATTTAAAACATTCTAGATCTTCCTTATTTGTCCACGTATCAGCATACTTGAGCAAAATGCTATATTTGGAATAATTTGTTTGTTCGTTGTAAAGCATAAAGTTACACCATGGTCTATGTGTGTTCTACCCACTGCTGATATTTAACCTTGATATTTACTGTAATAAGCGCACTGAATTATCGCTGAGCCACTATTAATGGTAGATGCAACAGGGATAAAACTATCACAATGAGCACAATAATCTATAAAATATCATCTATGATAAGTTTTATATCAAAATTCCATTTTCGACTGGGAATCAAAATATCTTTAAAATGCAATCTTGAACCATATTCATGCTCTGCTGTGAAATCCACATTTGTATGGGTTGTTTTCGTATAATGTAAATAAAATGTTAATAGTTCGATAATTAAAAATAATAAGTGTATTAATAAAAAAAATCTAACAGAATGGATTTTTCTCTTTGCCAACTTATAATTCACTTCGACTAATAGTATTTTTATTAGGTGTGTTTGAAATTAAGCACAAAGCTACACAATGGGCTATCTGTGCTCTGCCCACCACGGGTATCGAAACCCGGTTTCTAGCGTTGTAAGTCCGCAGACATTCCTCTGTGCCATTGGGGGCATTTTTTTTATTAGGAAAGTTAACATTTTATCCATTCTTCCAAGTATCAGGCTCAATGAATATTATCAAACAATTGACTATTTTACCCTCAGCCGTCGAATTAATCGCTCTGCAAAACTAAGAATATGAAAATTGATTAAACATTCATGATACTAATAAAGTTACTTTTTCAAGTTTGATCCAGGACTTTAAAATAGATGTTAACACAGTAGAATATAGAATGTCTTTAGGACACCCACTTCCAAAATGTTATCCGTGATCCCTTTGGGTCCGTGGTCAAGTTTCTGGAAATCCGCGAAATATCAGTAGTTAGTTCGCTAGAAGGTCCTAGTCTTAGCTTAATAGAACTTAGTTATAATTACAGTCTGGTATTGACCCTTTGAAGAGTGACATTTCTGGAAGGATGTCCAGACTTGAAAAGTTTGGGAACCTATGTTCTAAAGTATATATGAACATTCCTCCACAGATAAGTGTGAGTAGAGAAATTTGCTTACCTTACCCAAGTTTTCTATATTTAAACCTCAATTCAGGTGTTAAAAACTACGCACTCGAAAATTCTATAAAAAAATATTTGTATAAATGTCCTTTCAAACTACTTTAGCACAATTACGTCCCTCAATTTCCAATCACCCTGGTCATTATTAAAAATAGTTGACTTCATCAGCACATTTGAATAACTTCAATAAAACTAAGAATGCCTCAGAACTCTTTCACTACTTTGTAACTGAAGACAAGTTTAAGGTACCAGCATTCAGTCTCTTAAAACATACAAAATTATTTTATTCACTTGTTTCGTAAATTCAATAAAACTAAGAATGCCTCAGAACTCTTTCACTACTTTGTAAATGAAGACAAGTTTAAGGTACCAGCATTAAAACATACAAAATTATTTTATTCACTTGTTTCGTAAATTCAATAAAACTAAGAATGCCTCAGAACTCTTTCACTACTTTGTAACTGAAGACAAGTTTAAGGTACCAGCATTCAGTCTCTTAAAACATACAAAATTATTTTATTTACTTGTTTCGTAAATTCTTCCAATTGAGTTAAAATATTGCTATCAACAATTTTGTTCAGCGACTTTCAGTGGAAAAGAAAGCCGAAAGCTGATGAGTAAGGGTTCAGTTAAACCTCCCATTGTGTTCTAGAATTATTTTCAATCGAAGTATTTATTTTTTATTCCTCTTCTTAAAATTCAATGAATGATCTCATAATGACGTATAATCCTAATCCCTTGCCTATAACTCATTTAACTTCTCATGTTTAAATTTGGGTTCAGAAACAAACCAACGTATGTTTTAACCGATGAGACCTGTGTCAGATTCACATAGAACGAATACAGTGATAACACGCACTTAACCTGTTATTCTAAACTTTCTATAATAACAAGAATTATATTCTAAGGGTTTGCTTATTTTCCTTAAATCATTAAAACAGATTCAATTTAATAGTCGAGAAGGAATTCTTGTTTTCATCTTTGTTTAAAAAATACACCAAATGTTACAATTGTTCCATAACTTAAAAGGAAAAGGGCAAGGTTCGGGAACGTTGTTAATTTGATTTTTTTTGGGGGGGGAGGTCATCGACTGCTACATTTACAAGTATCGAATGGTGTGTGTTATTCATTGTTCAATTACTTTAGTATGCTTGCACCTTTGGCCTTAAGAAATCGACTTGTTTGTTTGTAGTTAAACATAAAGCTAAACAATGGGCGTGAAAACCATTTTTTAGCGTTATAAGCTTTCAAATGGTTTGAATTCTTCAGCAGAATGACAACAACAAAATAAACAGTAAAAGCTAAGTTTGAAACCACAGTTGCACCATCAGTTTGATGACGGTTTTTATTAAATTGTTTGTTTCTTTGTTTTTAATTATGCACAAAGCTACACAATGGGCTATCTGTGCTCTGCCCGCCACGGGTATCGAAACCCGGTTTCTAGCGTTGTAAGTCCGCAGACATACCGCTGTGCCACTGGGGGGTCTTTTATTAAATTGAAAATAGAACTATTCAGCAGCAAATTAGAAAAATTAATGCAAGCATACTTAGTTGACCGTTAACAAATTCACATTGTTTAAAAACCAGATCACGTGGATATTCGCCTTAATAAGTACGTTCTATATCCAAGCTAGCAAGCAAAATACACATCTTCATTAATACATTTTCAATATAAATGTATTGCATCTAAATATTTCCAGAAAATCTAACTTGTGATTGCATATCCAATAGTGGAAATAAAAAGTGTAACAAAACTGTTAATGTTCATCATTTTCAGGAGCTCATATAACATTTTATAACATAACCCTGAAAGACAAGTTTAATTATACGCTTAGTCAGAAATCATAAACTATTTTCTCATTGAATAATCCGAACTGAGTTTTAAACTCTTATATGTTTGTATAAGACGATAACCAAAATAACATCACAGCACCATTTTCAAAAGAATATTATAAAATAACAATATGTCTATGTAACCATAAATACTAAAACAAAATGTTAAACTCTTTCTTACAAAGATTACTCTGACTTATTTTACATTTATAAAAATTAAATAATTAATTCAAAATAAGTTAAAACAGTCATTTCAATGAAAAAACTCAATACATTTCCTGTCATCTGGTGAGTAAACGGGAAACAAGTATAAATATACTAATTTTAATTTATTAAAAAATCAAAGTCAATTTTATTTGGATAAATTAAAAATTAAGGACCACGTGCTAAAACATGTATTTTTACTGTCAAAAACTAATAACTAGAAAAGTTATAAACATATTATCAGGTCTATTTAAGAAAATATTTCAGTGTTCTCTAGAATTTGCAGTGCATACTGGAGGGATTTAGACATTTTAGCAATAAAAGAAAACGATCTTTACTCTCTAGATAATAATAATTATTATTATTTCAGCCAAAGTTTCACCACTGCGGTTTCATCAGGGTTAGTATACAAGAACTGTTCTTGTACTAATTTAATATCGAAGAAAAAAATTAATCTGACCAGTTTTTTTTCTTTGCTACAATGCTCTTATGTTTCTAAGATATTTAATATTTTTAATTCAACTTATGATCTGAGATCGTTGAAGCTAAGAAAATAAATTTGTGAATATTTGGGGCTGGTTCAATGTTCTTTTAATTTTGTTTCAGAAAATTAAGTACTTAATTTGGGAATACATAAATCACATTTGAGCTCGACGGTATCCATATAAAGTGACGAAATGGTTGATGATAAACCTTGAACTGCAAAACGTAGGGTGCAGTTAATTTAACTTTATTTTATAAGTATTATTTTCCCTTACCTCAGTCTTGTAAGGTCTACTGAATAAATACGTATTGGGTGGCTCTACTGGCTTCTGTACTAACATTACTATCTGATTGGTCATGATTGAGTTAGATAGTCCAATAGCATCTCTCCTCTTCCTGGTTATCGTTAGAAAGGGAAGTAAGTCGGCTTTCTAGGAAATGTCATTAAAACGTCTTAATATATCTGGCAAAAGATTTAATATCTGACTTGTACCGAGCTAGTCCTACTTATTCTAATATTATAGCAAACAGTCCTCTGTTGTCTTAGTGTTTCTTTGAACATTATAAATATATGTTGCAAAAACAAATGTCTTATAAACATTTCTAAAATATTACTACTGAATTATTACAACCTTGAATGTTAATCATCCAAGAGCAAATGCTTTATATCTTGTAATACTCTGATAAACATATCAGAATAGACTTGGCTTATAATTGCTCTATCATTCGTAGTGTTACCTATATAATCATGCCTTTCACAAATTAATTTATCTTTGCTCTATTTCTATAACATCATATTTATAGCTTTATGTTCCATAACTGTATATCATAATTAATAATCATCCTTATAATTCTACGTTCGATAACTTTGTATCATAATGCATAATTACATTTAAAACCTTGTACTCATTAATCATGCTTATGACTTTATGTTCAATAGCTTTGTGCTGTAATGCTATGTCATGCTTGCATCTTTGTGTTCCGTGACTTTGCACAACGTCTACGTTGTCATGCTTAAAATGGTAAATTTCACAATACCCTGGCGTGAAGAAGCTGAACACTGCCTGACCAAGTGTCCGTTGTGTCGTTTTGAACTCCCCACTCATTGTCGTCTGGACGGACTATGCTGTAGCTGTATTGGTCAAGATGAGAAGTTCAGAGGAAAATGTATTATTTATCCAAAAATACAAATCACTTGAACCTATTCAGGTTGTTATCTGTATTTTTTGTGACACTCGGTAATAAAAATACTGAAAAATAGGCAAATATGTTGTTTTGAGGGGTGGGGAGGGATTAATTCGCCCAAAAGAAAATGTATTACTCAAACAACACACAAGAAACCAAGCTCTTGAAAACCCCTTTTCTCTTGTTTAGATATATGTGTATACACATCAATAAAAGATAATTTAAAGAAATACCTAATCGTGTTCATTGGACCTCTAATTCTGAACAGTTCCTATATAAACATTTATTACACACGACCCATTTATTTATCGTATAATTTTAAAAAATCATAGTACCGTCGTTGTATTCTTTTTTTAATACATTTTATGGTATTATGCATTAAGTTTGAGCATTTCCCAGTACCCTATTCTTATTTATTAATTTTCCAAAGGAAGCTTTTTGGGGGAAATAATGCTGCTTCTATTAACAATTTGATGAAGCATAGATGTATCTTTCGCTCTTCGTTTAAGGGTAAAATGCCTGTATCTCTGTTAATGGAATCTATTATATTTATACGTACAAAACAGTTTTGTGATTATGATGTGAAATAGCAAATTCTATTTTATTATGGTTATGATTATATTTATCGTTACTTTATTATTTCCTCCTATCTATGAAATTTTAGTTGCATTAAAACGCTAACTCGCCTTCTAGCTAATTATTTGTATTTTGAATGGATATGTACATGTGATGAAACTGACACCAGTTTCCCTAACGGTGACTTACAGATACTATTAATGTAGCAGAAGACTATGTAAATTTATGATCACATGAGATGTACTCTCGAGACCTACTCAGTTAATAAATACCCTGCCAGAAGCTTCAATAAGAAGTGTCACAAGATAATTAGTGAATTTGATATTGATATTAATATTGAAAGGTATTTTTGGAATATTGTGTGTGCTGTGTTTTTTTAGATTAGGTTTTTTCTTTGTGGTTCTTTGTGAAATAATATTGATATTTATATGTTGCTTATTAAAATTAGCGTCAAGTCCTGGCCAGGCACGTGTTTATTAACTGTTTTTTGGTAAGTGTTGAACTTATTTCTAAGTATGTTTACAGTTGAATAAATTGTTTTTTGTTATTGAACCCTAATTGTAGCGACGTATTCCTTTTAGACCGTTACAACCAGAATTAAATGACCACACTTTAGAAAAAAAGTTCTGTTAAACGAACGTCTTTTATAAAACATAAACAAAAATTATATACTATATGTTTTATGTTTGAAATGTTAATTTTTGTAAAATGCGTGCTAACTGTCTAAAAATATTGATATATGTGATATGCATGATATTGATTAAAGTATGTTAGTTTAAATTGTATCATGAGATATAAAACAAAACAAAAACTATATGCTTAGAAATAATAAATGAGATAGACCACCCTAATTATTAAGTATCATGTGAATTAAGTACGGATATCACACTGAAAGATCGCTATAGGTTTAATCTACACAGACGAAAGAAATGTGAAGTTTAAAGTTCGAAACCTACCACGTTATAAAATACAAGATTATTGTAAAATCAGACAGGCTATTATTGAGATGTTTGGTGTTTAAGAATTTATTGATACTACAGAAACTAGAATTCTCACCCATCCTGATCGTATAATAATCAACTGTTGTAAAAATCAAGCTAGTAATTTTTAAAATATTTAATCTTTAAGAATTTATTGATGCTGTAAAAATTAGGATTCTATCCTATCCTGATTGTATGGTCAATAGCTATTGTAAAATTAGACGGGTTATTATGAATATATTTAGAGTTTAATAATATCCCCGAAAGGAGGCCAAAGACCTGTTTTAATCAGTCGCACCACAATACAGTAGTGTGTTGTCAGTCAGTCAGTAAACACTAAAATGACTTCACATAAGGGACGCTTAACATTGCAATTTATGCTGTCGTGACGTCAGTAAAAGTTGCGCATGACATGAATTACTAGAAGAATTATACACTCTGTAAGCTACAATACAGTTTAACATATGAACTTGAAAAGCAAGAAATAAAAATATTTGTTATTCTTAATTTTGATTTTATTTACTCTTCAAAGTGAACATTTTCGAGGATCCTGCGGAAGTACATCTAGTACTGTATAACACATGATTCTAGCCCATCCTCATTGTGCAATAAACAACTACTGTAAAATCAGAGAGATTATACGTGAGATATTTAGAGTTTAAGAATTTATAAATACTGTAAAAACCGGGATTGTAACTCATCTCGATTTTTAGTGTGCATACCAACATTTGAATCATAGCCAAATAAAAGGATACTGAAAGGTGTGCTCTTATAACTCGGATAAAATATAGGAATATACTTAACGTGAAATTTAATTCTTCGGTCAAAAACGTCATCAATTTCGTAAACACTCCTTCATCGACATTGTTAGTAAGGCTTCCACTGACATTTTGGAAAATGACGTATGGAGGAGACTGTATATGGATAGTTATAATAGAAACGCTCTTTAGATAAAACTCAGCGAATAAACAAAAAACTACAAATTTATTATAATTCTATAAAAATTGGTCATTAATATATTTGATATAAATTCAAAACATGGAATAAGTATCAAATTTCTATTCATTGTGGAAAGCAATAACATCTCTTTTTTATTTTGAAAAAAATCAAGAATAAATTACTTTACATGAACATTTATAAATGTGCAAGAATTTGATTTTCAACAAAGTTGACAAAATATTTTTCAATTTAAACAAATTCGTTCCAATTCTTTGATATGGTTCTCAGAACAGAGTAAGGCCCAGTGGATCTGAGATCCTGTAGATTACGCCCTGGAATTTATGGTCGGCAGTGAGTGTGTTATAAAAGTGACGGTCAATTCCCACTATTCTATCTGACAATAGTATAGCCCAAGAGTTGGCGGTGGGTGGTGTTGACTAGCTGTCTTTCTTGTAGGTTATTACTTTTAAATTAGGTACAGCTAAATAAAAAAACATTATTGATTTTAATAGTATTTACTTTGTTTTTGAACTGCGCACAAAACTACTCGAGAGTTATCTGCACTAGCCGTACCTGATTCAGAAGTGATAGACTAAGTGATATACGATTTTTTAATCTTCAGAATTTTAAACTATTAATTTCTACAAAACGGATGAGGTACTAATCACGTTGCAAGTGCTGTGCTATTTATTTTGCACGTTAAATACATTTTTTGTGTGTACGCATTGAACAAGAATGACAGATATTCAAATACGTCATCGGTGACGTCTTCAAAACACAGGTAAGATCAGTAGGCAATAATTTAATTAAAATTCATTTAAATGAAACAGTTGAATGTATTAAATTTGGTTAACAGAATACGTGATACGAATAAACGCAGCGTTACATATTAATATGTATTAATGTTTCATTATTGCAGCTTAAAATACTTAGATATGAAACATGGATTGTGCAAGAATTCAGCTTTACAGAAATGTATATGATTTTAAGGATACCAAACCAATGGTTCAAGTACCAACAAAGTAAACGTGTACAAGATGAACAATATATGTACTTTACAAAGGTTTCCCATCAGCATAAAAAGCATCATTTTCAAACACCGAAAATTTAAGAAACTACTAGAACTATTAATATAATAAATTTTGAGAAAATTTTCAAAGAACTGAGGTGCATTTGCTTCGCCCAAAATATTTTGTCAGTTTATCTAAAGTGAAATTCTTCTTTTAGAAAATTCAAAAGTGAAAACACTTGATAATTTTTCTTCTTTTGATTATAATGTAAAATATTTCATACAAAAAAAACATTATAAATTTCGATCTGTTAAAAATTAAAACGAAAAAGTTGTTCTTATCGCCCATAATCAACAGGAATATAATTGTTATTTTGTTTTTATTCCTCAATACATTGACGATCTCATTCTTCATGTTGATGATACTATACTCACTTCTGAGTTCATTACTTTATATATTAGACTACCTGATAAATTCAGCAGTTAAACTAGCTGTAATATATTTAAATACAGCACCAGGAAATGCCCTTTGTTCTCCAGAAAAAGAAAGCTTAGAGCTTTTGAAGACAATTCGAAAAAAATAGAAATATGGACTCCAGAAATTTTTAAGGAACTTTTTGGGAATTTTAATAATTATGTAGTTTTCAAAAATAGCATTTATTCTAATATAATCTTTAAAAACCTGTGTGTAATATTTTAGTAATCTTCTTTTCATGTGCGAGTGTGTTTGTTTGTTTTTTTCTTATGGCAAAGCCACATCGGGCAATCTGCTATGTCCACCGAAGGAAATCGAACCCCTGATTTTAAATCCGTAGACTTACCGCTGTCCCAGCGGGGGGCCTTCTTTTCATATTTAAATGAATACACGTGGAACAAAATAAACATACATTTAGAGGTACAAATTCTGTCGTGCTTTGGAGCTTGCATTCAATTCTGGTTGATATTTGGATATGTATATTAAATTTCTAAATTTTTTTACTACAGTAGGAATATAAAACACGTGGATGACTTAATAATTTCCCAGCTCTAGGCTTACTATATTCAAAGTGAAATATACCCCAGTCGGTTGGGAGACAGGTATTAATTTCTTCGTTGTTTAGGTTTGTCAAGTTAAACTTAAAACTTACAGATTTTGTATTCAACTACAAACCTTTACTAACTTTATGTAAATAACACAACTTATCTGTAATACAAACGCTTCGTACAATATTAAAGTAGTATTAATTAGAAAATTCAATCTTTACAATAATATTAAATTTATTTCAAAATTCACCTTAATTTTTCGTCTTATTTCGGATGATATGTTTTAAATTTTAGACCAATCGGATTTCCTCATTTTACAGAGATATTTACATATCTCTGGATTTTTGTACGTTAAAAATCACAATAACTGAGTTCGGAAACTGTAACTACATTATACTATACAAAATTTAACATACTACATATATATACGGAGACAGAGTACGTGCAAGGGGTACACATCCGTTACCTAGTCAAGTGTAGCAGTTTATACTTTATTACACCAATGAACAAAAAATAATAAGAGACTTAATGGATTTTTGGTAATTTAATTTGAAATCTTTTGTTTATTAATTTTTGTTGGTTATGTACTACAGCCAAAAACTCGTATTTATGCTTCTAGTAAAAATAAACAGACACGATAAAGAATAAATATCCAAACATCTTCTTAAATTCTTCATTTGTTCTTTTGCTTGTTATTTTCTTCTCTACCAACAAGTAATGTTCTGAATAAAGCTAATAAATAGCCAAAGATAGAAAGTAAGATCTGACAGTATTATTATAATACGTATTTTCACACCTAATCTCGTAGTAGCAAAAATTAATCATATTCGTGTTTGAAGAAAAACAAGATCAGAAAATGTAATTAAACATTACAACTCAAGAGTATAGCTTACATGCGGTACCGCTACAATGAGATGACGTCCGTTAAAAGGCAAAGTTATTTCGTCGTGATATATCTCGAGCTTTGGATTCGTCCAGGGTCTCCATGCTCCGATCGCACAGAATATCTCTGTGTTGGAATTATTTCCAGGCACATTTCGATAATACATGTAACTTGTAGTGTTCGGACTTGACCCGAGCTCCTCAAGGTGGCGCTGCAAGCATACAAAAAAAAGAAGTAAAGAAAACGTTCCTGTTAAATTATAAGTTGAAACATAATATAACACTGTAACGTACTTTACTATAAAACACCATAGTATACTATGCCCCACAAACCTATAAATCAGTACGTATATTATACAACATAATCTTATAACGCACTTTACTATTCAACAACGCAATATACTATATTATATATATATATACTACAACACCTTAGAAAAAACAAATATAAATAAACTCTTATAAAACACTATGAGATAACAACACCATGACATTCTAAGATATATTGTGCTATACTACACAACATTATAGCAGCATATATAGTGTAGTAAGTAACCTTACAAAACACTATACAATAATACATACTATACAACACAACGTTAGAAAATATTATGTAGTGTTAAACAACATCATAGTTTTTTAAAATATACTACATTACATAAAACTGTAAAACAATATACAGTGTGCAACATAACTTTACGTAGCACTTTAAAATACTAAATTATACAACACCAGAAAACATTGTAATAAACTACAATACGCAAAACTATAGTCCAATGTATATTATGCAACATATCATAATAAAATACTGTAGCATAATGTATAACACAAACATTTTAACTAATCGTATTGTACAACAAAAAGGTTACCTGACCTATTATCACCGACTTGTATGTATGTGTGTGTGTTACTTGTGGAAGGTGTAAAACAGAATATTTTTTTAATACACATTTTCTAAGATAGGACAAAGCAACAAATGAGGACGTCCTTCAGCATTAAAACATTATCAGAACATAATCTTAACCCTATCTAGCCAAATTTATTGATCAAATATAATTCGGCTTTTGTTTATGCAGGAAACTACCTTTATGCATTTGGTAAAATACGGTACTTTTATATAAATTAAATAAACTAAAAACACCACTCTACATGGACAACTCTACTTGATTCGATGGAGTTTTATTTCGTTATTATAACTCTTTCATCTACGGCCGAAAACATCATTAACAGCAAGAATGCCTAACTGATGAAACAGTGCATTCTAGTCTTTATAAAAAAATAACTTAAAAAAGTGCATTTAATTAGCTTTACTCGTTGCCAGGTTCTTCTGATTGAAAGTTAAGATCAATTATAATGTTACACAGAGTTCTCCGTGGTAGTTGTAAAGATACATTGTCTTAAGTGTAAGAAATCAAAATAACGTTAAATCATTATACTTTTGGAAGTCATTCAATAAAAATTGCTATTCACAAACTTCCTTTTGTCATCATGGTCAGGGTAACATCTAAATTTACTGTGGCCTATATGCTTTTCCATTTTATACATTTCACACTATTGTTACGTCTCTGGTCGTTAGTTAATTTCCCATATAATTTCTTTCCGATGAAACTTTAGCGACACAAGTCCTTTCTTAAATAAAACTGGTTTATTCTTTCTGAATACAACTTTACAATACACTTAATTTCCACAGTCGCGCTATAACAAACGCTATAATTCACAATGAATGTCTCACGTGCTCGACTCAACTGTCAATTACCCATTGTTGCCGTCACTTCTTGGCGG